GCCGTGGCCTCGCGACCCGACGGCAGCGTCTGTAGCTCAGAACCCAGAAAGCTCTCGCGGTTTCTCAGAGGACGTGCCCCGAGCAGCCGCAAGTCGGACCGCGCCGGTGTTGTGTCCAGGCCTCGGCAGGCGGCCTCCCCTCTAGGGAAGGAAGGACGGGGCTCTGTGCGCGCAGAGGGTGTTTGCACTTAAATACGCTTCCTGCGCTAAGATCCACAGTGCGTCACCCTGTCGCGTTCCTGTGGTCCCAGACAACCCGAGGAAGCCTGGGAAGTCTGGCTAAGTAGTCAGTTGAAATCCAGCATGGTGATGCCACCTTTAATCCCAGCTACTCAGGAGGCTGAGGCAGGAGGATCCCCAGTTCAAGACCAGCCTGGGCATCTTAGCAAGATCCAGTCTGCAAAACACTGAAAAACAAAAAGAAGCAGCTGGTCTGACCTGGATCTTCCTGATCTTCAGACTCCTCCCAGTTGGGCAGCGAGATAAGCAGGGCCCTCCTGCCTCAGCTGCCTTCAGTCGCCTTCCCGTGGCTCAGGGAGCCTCTTCTCATCCGGAGCTCTTGGTCCTGCAGATAAGACCGGCCGAAGCTGCGGTGGGTTTCCACGCGGCCTCCGTCCCAGGGCCTCGCTCTCCTCTCCCGCTCTCCTCCTCTGTCTCTTTCTACCATTGTTATCTTTTAGACCCAAAGAGTAAAGTTACCGGAAGTCGTAGAATGTGTGGCCCATCTTCTGTGGTAGCCAGGATAAAACCAAATGTCGCACCACCTCAAGGCACCTGGGTGGGGTTGGGGTTCGCATTTTCAAATTGGCACCGAGAGGGAGGGACGTTAGAGGGGCCTTGGCCACATGCACAGGCGGTCACCGAGCCCGGCCTCACTGTCGCGAGCTGGGACCGAGCACCAGCTCTGGGGTTGGAGTGACAGTGCCGGGTAAGGCCGTCTTTCTGTTTGACCTTGCAGATAATGATTTCTGTCCCGCTTTTAAGTAGGAAATCAGCTCTGAACACCCATACTGTGGGCTTATTTTATGAGCAGAAGTCAATGCAAAGCTGATTTTGTTTTAACGTGGAGCCGAGGGTAGAACCCAGGGCCTCGAGCACGTTTAGCAGATGTTGGGCTACTGGGCCACATCCCCAGTCCCAAAGGGAATCTAAAAGCAGCAGCTTAATCCCAGCACTTGGGAGGCCGAGGCAGGAGGATCGCCGTGAGTTCAAGGCCAGCCTGGGCTACACAGTGGGACCCTGTCTCCGAAATAAATAGATAGAAATGAAGTAAGAGCTGTTTATTCAGATTCTTGAACCCGCCAGGATCAAGATTCTAGTGCCACTGCACTTAGGTTTCACAGGGCCCCGAGGTGGGGTGGAGTAACCTTCACTTGCTGGCGGCCGGGTTCATGAAGAGATTTTATTTTGAAGATAACACATGCTCGGTGCCTATGGAGATGGCAGCGTGGGAGGCCATGTGCCCGCCTCCCGGTGCCCACCCGGGGACAGCTCAGGGACACAGACAGGAAGCCCAGCCGGGCTCGGAGGGCACACTTGTGCCCCAGGGGTTTGGGAGCGGAGGCTGCAGCCTGGGCAACTTAGTGTGAGCCTCACCTCCAAACCCGGAAGGCTCACCCTAGCCAGCCTCCTTCCAAGAGCGCGTGTTGGCTTTGTACACGTGGGGGTGGCACGGGACTGGGGGTTGACCCCAGGGCCTTCACACTGAGCTACACCCAGCCCTTTTTTGTTTTCAGACAAGGTCTCACTGAGTTATTAAGTGGCTAAGTTGTCCAAGCTAGACTCAAATTTGGGACCCTCCTGCCTCAGCCTCCCAAAGAACTGGGGTTATAGGAATACACCAGCATGGCTTCTGTGTTCCCTGTGAATACCATTGCCAGTGTGGTACTGACAGAGCCGTTTGTCTGGGGCCTGTTCACGGGAGCTGTGCTGCAGCTTCTCCGGGTGGGAGCTGCCATGGCTGTGGCTGTGTGCTCAGTGGTGGGCGCTCACTGGGAGCCCATGAAGGCCTGAGTCCAACCCCGGGACCACAGGGGCAAAAGGCCAGTTTCCGGGTCCGCTGAGCCTTGACTGCCGGCGTCTGTTTAGACAATGACCAGGAGGCCAAGCCACAAAAGTCTGTCTGCACCTCCACGCTGGATTCGTTTTCAGACAGGGACCTTCCGGAGAGAGCAGAGCCCCTGACTGAGTCTGAAGTAGGGTCCGTTGACGTTTTAAAAGCCTGCTGGTGGGGTTTTTGTTTCTTTATTTTGTCTCCTTTAGGGTTATGCGGGGGCAGAGGTGGTGGGCAGGTACGGGGGTGTAAATTGAGAGCCCGATTGGAAACCGGTCTCCTGAGGCCGTGCCCCGGTGCACCGTCCCGTCACCCCAGAAGGGTCCTGACGGCCCGGCCCCATCTGACGCACAGGGGCCCTGGCAGGGCCGGGTTCCCGCTCCCAGCCGGCGCACCACACTTGTCCCAGACTTTGCGGAAGGAGTGAAACGGTCCCAGGCTCCCCCTCTACCCAGCTCCCCGAGGTTAATTCTGTGGGCCTGGAGCCCCCCACTGCGTGTAGGAACCGCCCTCCGGTGTGGGCGGGGCTGCTGGTCTGGGATTCAGTGAGTTTATTTTTAATATTGCCGGGGCACTGTGGGTGTGTGTGTGTCTGTGTGTGTTGTCCACGATGTGCTTATTTAATAATTGCCAAAATATTTACACTAGAGTAACGTCCAACAGGTCAACTGCGTTGTGACTTTTGTGGGTTTTGTTTGTGTTTTTTAAGTTGCTTTCTGTTAAACATGTCTGTAATTCTCTCCACAGAATGTATTTGTATATACTGCAATTTAAAAACTAAAAGGACGACTTGAAGTAGTTGTTTTAACGTTTTCCTCTTTTATCTGTTTGTTTTATGGATGATTCTGCTGCCTAACGACATTTTTGTTTTTATAACTGCTGGGGCGGCCCCAGGACTCTTGCACTGCAGCTAGAACCCCAGCTGGCCACTCCGCCCTGGGGTTCATTAGACACTTGGGTTCTGAGTAAGTTTTGTTTGCGCACAGCTAACGTGATTGTTCCTTTCTGTTCTCCCCTTAAAAGAAAAGAATCTGTCTGGCATCTAGTTGTACCTTACTATCTGCCTCTCTAATAAATGTTATATTTTTCTCAGTGTTGTGTATTTAAGTGATTTTTCCCTTTTCCAAGAAAATTATTCTGTGTAATATGAATATTTAACTCAGAATCTTTCGTGACGGGGAATTTTCTAGCCAAATGCTTTTTAAAATTGTGCCTCCTCTTCTCACGCGGCAGGGTCCTCCTGTCCTCCCTGAACCCCGGCTCGTGTCCCGTCCCCCCTCGAGGAAGAACTTTCACTGTTGAGGAACTTTTCAGTGCTGGAAAACCCGTCCCTCTCTCCAAGGTTCAGAGGGCTCCTCCGAGTCTGAGCCCAGCCTGGGCAACTTAGCCAGACTTACTGAGACTCAGTCTCAAAATTTTAAAAATGATAAAAATATAAACAAACAAGAGCTAGGCTATAACAGTACAAAAACCCTGAGTTCATCCTCAGTACCACGAAAAAAAATACAGTCAGGGTCTGGGCTGAAGCTCAGTGGTAAGGTGCCAGGTGGCCGTGGGTTCTGTCCCCAGTGCCAGATAAAAAGAGAAAACAAGCTGGAGTAGCCGGCTTCGGTTTCATTGACTTTTCTCTTAAATATCAAAGGTAAAGCTGAGCGAGGTGACTTATTCCTGTAATCCCAGCACTCGGGAGGCTGAGGCGGGAGGATCGCCACCTGTGAAGGCCAGCTCAGGCTACGTAGTTCAAGGCCGGCCTGAACCACAGTGAGATCCTGTCTCAAACACCTCTCCAGGGCCAGGGATTTAGCTCCTTGGTTCCGCTGCCTGCCTCACAAGTGCAAGGATAAATCAGAAATAAAACCGTGAAAGTTCCTTGTCTCAGACCTGCCCCATCCATAACCAATGTCTATTGAACCCCTCTCGGGGCGGAGTGCCGATCTCGGCCCTGCCCGTCTGCTACCCGCCTGCTCTAACCCTGCTGTCCTCTCCTTCTGTGTTGTAGATTCCTAGACTGAGGCCACCGACGCTCGCAGCCGCGTCCCCGCACCGCCTTGCTCCTCTCCTCGCCCGGCTTGCTCCTCGGGGCCCCGGAGGGACAGGTGTCACACACTTCACACCGTGCCTTCCCGACGAGGTGACCGCTGGTGCCAGGACTCCTGACAGATCCTGGGCCCAGAGCGCCCCAGACGGGACTGGGGTCCCCACCCGCATTTGGCCGGCACTGAGTCCCCTGCAGCTGGTGCTGGCCCTGTCGTCCGCCCGTGTCCACCCGGCCGGTTCCCAGACCCAGCGACGCTCAGTGCTGCGCCGTGACTGCGCCTCTTCCTCCCTGCGCTCTGAGTAGCGTTGTAGGGCTCCATCGCCTCTGCCACCAAAGACAGACGCTCGGCCCTGCGGGTCCAGAGTCGCTGGAAGCTGCATTTCCGCCCTGCCTGGCTCAGACCCAGGGGTCACCTGAGTGTCCTCTGTGGTTGGATCAGTTGGGGTGGGGACAACAGTGACCGGCCTGGGAATGCCAAGGCCAGGCGACAGGGGGACCAGGGACGGGGCTGTCGCTCGCCCGGCTGGATGTCTGCCTGCGCCCCGCGGTCCGGACGCCGTGGGGCCGACGGTCCCTGCATCCTGGGCAACTGCGCAGGGCCGGTGGCGAGAGGCTGGGCTGCGCCCGTGTCCCGTGACGGATGGGCCCCTCATGTCTGTCACACCCACTCCTGCTCCATTCTAAGCCTTCATAGCCCCTGTGTCCGGGAGGAAGGGGAGTCAGGACCCCTGGCTCGGCCTCCTGCTGCGGGGTCGTCTCTCACCAGGGACTCCTCCGGGTCCTGCCTGCCCTCTCCACCCGCTGGGACACAGCACGACTCATTGGGAGCCGGTGTGGTAGCACACACCTGTCATCCCAGCGCTCAGGAGGCTGAGGCAGGAGGATCGCCAAGCTTTCAAAGCCAGTCTGGGCTACACAGTGAGACCCTGCCTCAGGAAAAAAAGAAAAGAAAAGAAAGACTCATTTGAAGAGCACCTGCCCAGAAAATGACTTCAAGACAAAACGAAAGAGGAACTCGTGCTTTCCCCAGCTTTCCCTTTGCGAGATGAGAGCTGAGGCGCCCTGGGCTTCCCCTGGGCTGTGAGCGGCGCAGCGGAGGGGCTCACGCCGTAGCAGCTGTGAGACACCTGTGTCGCGGCACCGTGACAGCTGAGTCCACCCAAGTTTCCTCCCAGAACCGCGGTCCGCGTTTCTCCACGGCTCTGTCTCTTGTGTTTCTAACGTCGCAAACCGTCTTGGTCCAGGATCCCACTTCAGCCCGGCGTTGGGCCCCACGTGTGCGTGTGTGCGTGCGTGTGTGTGTGTGTGCGCGTGTGTGTGTGTGCGTGTGTGTGTGTGCGTGTGCTGCACTAACCCTGAGCTTCGGGGCACAGCAGCTTCGCGACGGACGCCGCCATTGTTCAGGTCCGGGAACCCGTTTGTCTCTGGAGATGGAATTACACCAAACCACGCTACCTTGGGAGCCTCAGATTGGCTCTGTAATCCTGTAATCCACTAAACGGCCGATAAAACGACTTCCAGTCTCGCGTCTTTTTTCCACAGAGAGGCCCCTCGCCATGGGCTGGCCGGGGGTCAGGGGAGCCCTGGGTCCACGTGGGGCCACTGATGGGAAGCCCAGCGACGGGCTTGGGACCCGGGAGCTGTAAAGGTCACTGCTGCCCACCGGAAGGCTGATTCAGGCCAAGGGTTCGAAGAGACACCTGGATTGTTGTTTTATTTCCAATACTAAGGATTGAACCAGGGCCTTCACACCAGGCTCTGTCCCTGGGCTTTTTTTTTTTTTTTTTAAACTGGGCTGGAACTCAAGATCCTCCTGCCTCAGCCTCCCAGGGTGCTGGGCATGCAGGTGTGTGCCATAATATTCTTTATGAGAAAATTTTTTTTATGTGTGCATGCAAATCCAGAGGGCAGTTACGCTCCCTTCTGGGGGACTCAGTTGCCTAGGGGAGGTGGAGCAATAGGCTAGTTTCCTGTTCCTCGGGGGCCACTGTTGAGAGGGCTCAGGCATCTCTTGGTGGCCCGGCTGGTCTCGCTGGTTCTGTGCCACGCAGCATTGGTTTAGGGTGGGTTCGAAGGGGGCGCCACGTGCTGTGGGAGCCCTGGGCCCACACTGGGCTGTGACAAGTCCTTCCCGCCTCCCGGGGAAGTGGGGGCCGTGCTCAGCTCTGTTGCCAATGGTCTCGGCTCTGTTTCAGGAAAACAGCCCTCCCGGAAGTGCAGCAGCGGGCAGCGCAGACCCGGCACCGAGGGCCAAGGGAAGGTCACATGGGGCCCTGACCCCAGGGCCTGCAACTGGCTCCCAGAGACACGCTGGGCCAGGAGTGGTGGTGCTTCCCTGTCACCCCAGCACGCTGAGGCTGAGGCAGGAGGGCCACTGAGACTTTGAGGCCAGCCTGTGCTACACAGGGAGGCACTGTCTCAAAAGCAAAAACCCTTACCAAGTCCCAAAAGCTGCTGCCTTTGGTATCAGGGGCCAAATCCTTTGAGACAGTCTCAACTTCCCTGGCTGGCCTTGAACTGGAGACCCTCCTGTCTCGGAGATTACAGGTATGTGCTTGTACTTGGCTTTAGGGAGCTAAACTTCTTTTGGGGGGGGTGTTTTGTTTTTTTGAGGCAGGTTCTTGCTATGTAGTTCAGGCTGGCCCTGAACTATGTAACTCAAGTTTGGCCTCCCAGCGATCCTCCTGCCTCAGCCTCCCGAGTGCTGATGATATAGGTTGTATGATATAGGACCTCCAAATAACCCAGATAATGTAAGGGAAATATTATACTCCCAATCTGATGGATGCCGGGACACACCAAGTTCATGTTCTCTAAAATTGAAGAATGAATCCTGGAAATACAGAGGTGAAGAGTAGGAAGAATTTTCCAAAGACAGCTTCTAAGGGGGACAGAAGGGATCTGGAAAGTGGTTTGCCCCTGAGGGTGTTTTACTGAGCAAAGCCAGGAGGTGAGGTGGGTTCAAAGTGGGACAAAACTACAGTCAACCAAGAAGAGGACAAGCACAGTCGCTTAGGTAACACTGACCCAATTGGAAGTCACAAAGTGGGTATGAGGTGGGACAAAACTATGGTCAGCCAATAAGATTAGAGTATAGTCGCTTAGGGAATATCGGGGACCCAATGGGGAAGCAAGTCCTGCAGCCCACTGGACCCAACCGAGGACTCTGGGAGGGGCTGGGCTGGGAGGTCTGGGTCCCCCCACCGTGGTTGGTGCCCCATCGGCCGCTGCTGATCCCTAAAGGAAGTGAGGGTAGTTCTTCAAGTCTGACCTTTAGTGCACGAACCTCTTTTCCAGCTAGCTCACCGGCGGTCTCAGTCGTGGGGTCACAGGGTGTGCACCCCGGGCCTGGCACCTGCGGCACGACCTCGTCCTGGGGATAGGGTGTCTGCGTGTCCCTAGGGCCCCTCATCCAGGCCGGAGCAGGGGTGCGGGTCGGGAGGCTCCCGCAGCCACGGCTTCAGACAGCCAGGCCACGGTCGGGTCGGGCTGGAAATAC